ATTTTAAAGCATACAAAGCATACAATTGAAGACAATAGTGATCTAATCCTAAGGTACACCTCACTTTATTAAGTCCCCAGCAGAGTCGCCAGTTCTGTGATCGGTGGGAATAGAACTGACTGTTTTGGAATGCTGGTTCGCGAAATGTCACGGTAAGCAAGAGTCTCCACCGTCTTTTATTTTTTCCAACAAGGAAAGGACAAAAGCACAGCAAAATTCCTTTTCGAGTTGTTTCTCGGGTTCGGGAGGTAGATTATAGAAAGGGAAGGTGTTAGCACCCTTTCTATCCGTGGTTATCCACGGGCTCTTAGGTACTTGCTCACTATATTTTCAAAAATGTTTGCTTCTCTTGTGTTTATGGGTTTTTGAAAAAAAGTTCGTCTGAAAACTTCGTTTTGACTCTTGTATCTGTCCTTAAGAGTGTACGAAGTGTTGTTTGAAAAATTTTGTCAGAAAAGTGTAGGTGCGAAAAGTATTTTTTGTTTTGAAAGAGCAAGTACCTGAGAACCTCTACCTACTCAAAAGAAATTAAGCTGTGTAAATGTCCTTTAGACAGTACTATCCCACTATTGAGAAGTAGGTAGCACCGTCGTTGGAATTATTCGGGTCAATTCGATTATAGGGACATGTGGTCACCAAAGCAATAGTAGGACGCCTTAGCGGTAACCCTAATGTCCTAGATCCTTTTTATCCGAGGCAACCGTTTAGAGGCAACTTGGATCTTTAGACAGGAGGGTGACCTCTAAAACACCCTATACTCAATGACCACGTCGAGGCAACCAAGTGAGGCGTACCCTAGGAGTGGCATGTGCGAGTGTGTTAGGTTTCATGTTTAGATTATCTTTGAGCATGTTATGGTGAACTACGGGTTGATTTTATTTTCAGATAAGTCTTGCATGCATAGCCTAATTAACATACATCTAACAGTTAATAATTTGCGGAAAGTAAATCTACGCTATTACAAGGCGTCGGGTATTTACATCGCCAAAAACAAACCCTTGGAAAAGTAAATGCGGGAAATTAAAGAAAGCGATAAAAAGTCCTAATTAAAGCTATTACATTCTCAGAGCAATTACATAAATATGATCAAAAATAATATGCGCGAAAAGAAATTAAATCGGAGAAAGTCTTTAGGGTTTTGACCCTTTTTGAGAAAAGAATGAATTTTTTGTCCTTTAATGAATTAAGTCAAATTAAACCTAAAACTAATTAGTTAATTAAAAGAAAAGAAATATTTTTTTAAGTTTTTTTTATGTGTTAAGGAAAATAAAATAAAAATAGTCAAAAGTTAGTAAAAACCCTAATTCTATGTGAATTTTATTTATTGTGAAAAAAGTCAAAATTTAACCTAATTAACTAATTAATTTGTTAGTATTTATTTACAAAAATAATAAATTACTAGTGAAATTAATGAATAATAATAATAATAATAATATTTTAGTTTTCTGAATTTATTATGAAAAATATTAATTAAGTTAATTAAATAATAATAATAATAATTAGTAAAATAGTTAAAAGAAAAAAAATAAAATAAGAAGAATAAACCAGGGGGTGTTGGCCCAATAAGGAGGTAAGTTAGCAATTTTCAAGCCCATTTGCACACAAGCCTGTTTGACTTCTGAGATCGTCCACATGTGCATTTACTGGGAGTATGATGGTCATCCAGCTTTGGACCATTGGATTTGAGTCTTAGACACATGGCACCTGGATATTTGAAGCGCATGGTAGGACATATCCTGGAAAGCTGCATATGATTATGTGAAGAAAAAATAGAAACAAGTATTTTGGGGGACCTGGGATTCGAACCCAGGTCCCAATGATCATTGGCCAACGCACCATCCACTACGCCATCTGCACGCGTTTGTTATTATGATAATAAGCAAATATAATATTAAGAAACAATCCAATATGCTGTAACATAAAAACACGCGCGCCTTTTTTTGAACTGACCAATGGGACATTCACACCTCATCATCTTCTTTGTTCATTCTGCAAAAACAAACATTAGATAGCGGGGGTTTTTAACCCCCACTAAACAGTGTGACAAAAAATAACGATTAGGGCTGTGTTGTATATAAATGTTTCGCGAGGGTTCCAATGTGTTCGTCTTGCTCTGACGAATTCAGTCATGGGCCTTAGGAGCCTCAATTTTTCCTGGTTACTGAATCCCCAAATTCAAAGTTTATGAACCCTAAAATTCATCAATGGAAATTTATGATTCTGTGCATTATAACTCAATTAAACTATGCCAATAGCTTCATGTGGTCTCTAGCAACACAAAACAAACAAGAAATCATGTCAAATGCTTATGAATCATGAGTTACGATTATGAAAAAAAAGGTGGCAAACCGTCAAACTGTTTAGGGCAATTCTAGTAGCTTTAAGGCCTGGTTGTGATTGCAAAACGTCCCTGACAACTCCTGCAAGTTATTAGAATCCACAAAAGCCTTTGAATCGTGCTAGAATATGGAAATCAGTTTTGAGTTTTTTCCAATTTTTCTTGAATTGCAATGGCTTTTTCCTGCAGTTTTTTCACGTGTGCATGATCAGGGTTTGCTTGTATATTTATAGGAGAATGAGATTAGGTCAGAATCTTGAGCAAGAATCCATGGAATGATGATTGGAATATTTGATTGGAAATCATATATTTTTGAATCTTCATGATTGGAAAAAGTTGCCAAATTTGGAGATATTGCATCTTAGACTTGGTGCACGAAATTGCCATCCTTTTTAGGTCATTCTTGCTTCACAAAAAGATTGAAAAACCATATCTTTATATTTTCCTACAATTTAAATTAATTAAATGAATTAATATTGATTAAAAATCCAATTAATTAATAAAAAATAAGAAAATAATTCAATTAAGCTTGATGGGTCGTGCATAGGCCAAGGATAAAGTTTCAAGAAGAAATTTGAGGCCCATTAGCAAAAACAAAGTGTTTTGAGCAAAGTTGACTTTTGCAAATTCATAAAAATTTCCCAACTTCTCCAATGCATATCTTGCTCAATTTTGATCATATGAACATGTTCTTGGACATTTTGGAAAGGTCTTGAAGTCCTCTAACCAATTCCTTTGGTCCCATGTCATTTGGGTTTACCAATATCAAGTTATGATCTTTGACTTAAAGTGCATTTTTGTTGACTTTTGAATTTGACCTATAATGTAGACATTGATAACTTTTTGTGAGAGCATTTCTTGAACTTGGAATGTGAAGATGGATTGTAGGAAATGTCATCCCCTTCAAAATGAGCATTGGATGGGACTTTTCTGATGAACCATGAAAAAGTTATGTCCTGGTCAAGATACAGTTGACTTTTCTACTATCCAAAAATAGTAACTTTTTGCATCTTGATGATCTTTTAGCTATTCTTGTGAAATCATGATCAAGACTTGATCAAATGATGATTGTGACCTTAAAATAAGATGTTGACCAAAAATTTTGACTTTTGACTGCAAAATGACCATTTTGCCCTTGCAGTTGACTGTGGATCAAATGGAGCTTTTGACTGTGCAAGTTGACACTGTGAGTCTTGAAACTTGGCATGTAGATGCTTGAGGATGTATATAGGCCCATGAGACTTGATTGAACCATTGAAAACCTCAAATTCCTTGAAAGAACCAAAACCCTAATTTCAGCTGTCTTAGGAGGTGGTTTGACTGTCCAATCCCTTGAGCAACTTTGAGGATCATTCTTGACAAATTTGGTGAGATATGGGAGGGCAAATTTTGGGGTACAACAGTTGCCATGTCCACTATTTGTGAAGGTTCATCTAGTTGTATTATGCTTGGCCTTCTTGTAGGTGATGGTGATTATTGATCCAAGGTGTTTAGCCTTTTTTTATCGGAGTTTCATACACCAAGCGTAACCATGACCTGATTATTAGAAACTTTTTATGGTATTGATCGTAGCATCCCATTGGCGTGTCAAATTTGTTGTCTAATTGTGAAAGCCAGTCAAGGATCAATTATATGCTCTCATTTGTGGTTCTCTTGTCTTCAAGCGAGTGTGTATAGAAATGAATTATGTTCGTCAGCTATGGGTTTCTTAACTAATTCAAATAGGGAAAAGTATAGGTTTGAAGATGTTGAACTACTAGTCCACAAATAAAATAAAGTACGTAAAAAAAAGCTTGATTGATTGATTGGATGTGCTAAACAATTTACAAGTTCTAGTACTTATAAGAGATAAAACTATTGTATAAACTATAGAATTGTGCCTTACAAAAATACTGTCTCATTCAACTATTTACGTAGGTAATGTGTGAGTGTTCTCTCTACTTTTTTATATTTGGCGCCCTATGTAAGATTATGTATCTTCTGTTTCTCACTAGATTTTGTTGGTCATATCCTTATGTGCACAACTTTCTTAGGTTGTGGTTCCACAATCGTTGCCTTTTTTTTTGTTCATGGCGCTATTAACACAAAACAGATCCATAAAGTCCATATGTCCAAATCTTGTGTTTTTAAAAAGTCTAAAGTATTGGTGATTGTGATAGATTCCAATTGACGGAGAAATATTCTAGTTACTCATGTTTGAGTGCATATATACTCGCCAACCTTATTATCGACTGAGGAGCCTTCGACTAACCCTAATATCAACTGTCTAAAAATTATACTAACATTTTAAATATTTTTAGGTGTAAACAAATTCGAATTCAAATAATTCAATTGTGAATGAAATTAATAAATAAGAGAAATAATCTATCAAAAACTTTAGGACTCCTCGACAAATATGATATAATCTCATATAACTCTAAATCACATAGGTTTATAGAACTATATAAAATAAAAAAAAATCCATGAAATAATAAACAAGCATCCCTTCATTTGTTAATTAATTGAAGAGAAGGTTACAATCAACCATCTACAATTAAAGTTAATTAGGAGAGACTAAAATTATTGTCATATAGTGATCTCTTCACTAGTTAGGTGAATTACAAAGTTGTGACACATAAAAATCTCTATACACTTTCAACACAAAAGTGATCATAACATCCCCTTAACTTCTTCCAATTCTCAATGATGAATCAACATCTTTATCTTTATCTTTATCTTTATTATTAACATTTGCAAAGATCCTAGCAATCTCAATTTGTGTATTAGCAATAATTTCAGTTCTCTTGATCTCCATTTCCCCTCTCTTTGCCTCAGCCTCAACTCTCATCTTCTCTATCTCTTTCAATGTGTCCATTCTTGTTTGCTCTGACCTTACAACAACTTCTGCTAGCCACCTTATGCTTTCTGCTATTCCTATTGCTTCTTTCTTTTGTCTCTTGTTATTGTTGTTGTTCTCTGATCTCATTCTCCGCTTCTTGCATCTTTCCTCGCCTTTTTCGCTGTAAAGCGCAGGCGTGCTGCTATCGGTTTCTAATGGATTCTTGTTAGGTACATGATCAGATGACTTAGTTTCTAGCTCACCTTCCTGTCAATAACAAATCTTGAAAAAAATATTTCTGCATAACTCACATTTTTATAGATAAATAAAAAACAATGAAGAACAAACATTGATTTTCATAGGTCTTATTCATAAATTGTTTCATTCACATAAAGCACAAACAAAACTTAATATAGTAATTCACCACTACTATAAAAAGTTGAATTTGCAATTAAAATTTGAAAAAATTGAAATTACAAAAATAAACTTGATTTTCAACTTTGGCCTCATTCACAAAAATAATCATGTAATTACTAAAAAAGAAGGACTAAAAACATTTTTATCATATTTTTTAGGTTTAACTATGTAAATTCTCCGTTTCAATTTGCATATTTTTGTTTTTTTTCTCCTGTATTTTTTTTAAATAATTCTTAAAATTAAAATATTTTTGGTATTTGTACCTAACATTAAAATTTACAGCAAATTCCACAAGTAAAAAAGAATTTCAATCATTTTTAACTACGAAATTTGTTGCGAATCATAACTTTAAAGATAAATTTCTAAAAATTTGTAACATTCAGAAATTATTTTAAAAAAATATAAACTAAAATTAAAATTAACTAATTTACAAATATGATTTAATTAATTAAATTTATTTTTTAATATATTCGCGTGCAGCTGTTAACACTAATCTTTCTGCATATTTAACACACAAACTATGGTAATAATATAATAAAATTCTTAAAATGAAAAATCATTTTTTATAAACAAAAATGAATTATGGAGAGTATAAGCAAAATGAAAATTTGTTAATTTACCTTAGCTAATTTATCACACCCATTTGATCCATGTGAGTTTTGAGCAGTTGCAACTATTGGTGGATTAGCAACACTAGTAGGAGCTGGTAGCTGATTAGCTTCATCAACCTCTTGTTGTGAAGGTTCCAACAAAACCAAACCATGATTAAGATTATTACTATTATTATTACTACTTACTTGTAGCAATTTCGTGGCAACATTCGTAGCTAATTGTCCCGTACCACGAAGAAGAAGATCAAGCCTAGAATACAAAGGCCAAGCCGAAACATCCGAGCTAGCTGATTCCGATCTATACCTTTTCTTCATTGACTCAATCTTATTCTTACACTGAGTTTGTGTTTTCGGGGACTTAGTCGAATTCGATCGCGACGAAACATGTTTTGCAACGTCTTCCCAATCTTGTCCTTTGAGTTTTGCTCGGTTTCTAAGTATCCATTTTGATTCATAGGATTCAAGAAGTGTTGTCACTGCTCCTTCACTCCACTCATCTCTTTTAAGTCTCTCATTTGTTGTGTTGATGATGATTTGTTGCTTTTTTTGTGAGTCTTGTGATGTTGGAGGGTTTTGGTCTTTGCTTTCTTGTTTTTCATTCATTGCTTTTGAGCATGATACTATTTTCCATCTAGTGTGAATTTTTTTAGAGTTTGTAGTGTTTTGATGATAACATTTTGTTGCAAAGTTTGAAGGTCACATGAAGAAGAATATGAAAGAGTAATAATAATAATAATAAGAGAGAGAGAGAACCACTAGCATTAGAAAGAAAGTGAACTTTCTTTTTCTTTTTTTAGTAAATCATAAATTTATTCTCTAAAATATTGATGTCTCTCTAATTTAGTACCTAAATTATATAAAAATAAGTGATCGATAAAATATTCACTCCTTCTTAAATAATAAGTTATTTTGCAAATAAATTGGTGTTTTAAATTATAAGTTGTTTTACATTATTAATAGAATTTTAATGATTTTTTAATTCTAAAATTTACTATTTATTACTCTCTTTTTTAAAATTCTTATAATTTTTTTATTTCAATAAAAAAGAATAAATTTAGGAAATTACACCTTTTTTTTATATATAATTAATTATACTTTTTAAATTATATGGTGTTAAATGATCAAAATATTTTATAATTTAAGAATTATTTATTAATAGTTAAAATGACGAATTAAAATGAGAGATTTCATACAAGTTAATAATTATTTTAATATTTTATATATTTTGAATAAAATTCATAATTTTTTATTTCTTTTTTGTTTTATAAAAAGGAAAAGAAAAGAATTGCTAGGAAAAAAAGATAGTGAACTTTTATGTCAAATAAATTAATGATGTCAATGACATAACTTTTTCTTTTACTTTGCTTTTATTATGTGGGAGAGAAGTGGTGTTTGTGAAGTGAGTGTTGGTTTTTGTTTGAGTTTATTTGGATGTTAGCTTTGTTATGAAGCCAACCAAGATATCCACTTGGCTTAGCATAAGGGTAGTGGGTCTATCACATGAGGACCACAATAGATGATAGATGAACAGTTGAGAAAGACTACAATCGACAATAGGTAATAGATGATAAGTCAAGGAAGATAATAATAGACATAAGAAATTTCTTTTGAAAAATTAACATCAGTCAATCTTTAGGTTGAATTCGAACTCAGAAACTTTATTTGAAAAATTAACATCAGTGAATGTTTAGGTTGAATTCGAACTCAGAAACTTTAATTAAATTATAAGAAATATTTGTTATAAGAAATATTTATCAAATCACGAAGTATGTATTTAAAAAAACATGAGAAAAATTATATTGATATTTTCAATACTACTTAATTTTTTTATTTTTTATATATTATTTGTACCTAATAAACACATTGTCTTGAATTGAATAGTGATCACAAATTTGAGAAGTATTCACCAGCAACACCACCATGAAAGATACCCTAAAATTTCAATTCCACCACAACCATCCAACATGCTACCGTCACTAAAACAAACATCTCACTATCCATTTCTTCTTTATTTCTCCACTTTTTCTCTCTCAAATTACACTTTCTTGAGCTATATTCATGTACCTTTTTGAAAGGTCTTTTGGTGATGCACAACCACTAAAATCAAAGCTATTCAAATGGGCTTTATAATCAACACAATGGTTGGCCATTGTAGTGAGGAATCAAAATATGACACGTCTATCAAAACAAATTATGTTGTGGGTTTAGTGACTCATTCCATTCTAAAAAGGCATGCCTAGCTAGTTATAGGTCATTTTGATTTATGGCTTCTTTATGTCTTTCTCTTATTTTCTCCATTGGGTAAGATATTGGTTATTTACATTATTAGTATTAATTTATGAAATAAAACAACGTTTTTTGTAGCATCATTGAAATATATTCACTTAATATGTTTTAATTGTCTTTTTGGAATCAATTTATATATTCTTCTTTTAAAATGTTAGGACAATTTATGGTGTAAAACAAACTTTAAAATAGAGAATTTTTAAGTGAGAGATGTTAGGACATATACTAAACTTTTAAAAGAAAATTAATTTTATTTTGTAACTTATCATTAATTATATAATTTTTTAACAAAAGTAAAAATAAAATAGGCATAAGAGTTGAAAATATGAATGGATGGAATTAAAATTGATTTTATGAATTAAAACAATCAATTTTCTAATAAAACACATTTTAAAAAATCAATTCTTTTATCAAAAGTTATTTATATCATTTATTGACAATTTTAAATAGATTGATATTTATTACATACATGCTAATACTGTTGTGTACCGTTATGTGTCTCTCAAAGGCTGACTTACACAAGATCTACTTATTTAGTCTATTTTATTGAGTCAAAGATATAAATACCTACATAAATAGTTTTTAGGTACATAATTATTAATATTTATTTTCACTATAACTATTTTGAACACTAAAATGACTTCGACGTTGAAGTGTTAACCGTGCAAATGCTTATCCCCCTCTTTGTTGATTCGTCACATTAGAGATTAACGAAGCTGATTCAAAATCAATGCCTCTAGTTCAAGAAACATTATGATCACAACTTTCGATTTACGGTTCCTCATCATTGTAATGCTCAAGAAGCTTCACTCCGCCGTAGTTTCCTCCATTCTCCCTATTTCTGGTTCCACAATAGAACAGTGGTGCCCTATATGGGAATCGACTTCCGATTGCTATGTTTTCACGATTTTAGATCTAATTTTTTACTCTTCAAATTGTGGCAACCTTCTGACGACGAATCGGAATCGCATTCAACCTTCTGGTTCGAAAAATTTATGTGAATCTGTGTTCATTGTTCGGTTTCTACGCTTACGCCTCTCTATATCTCAAAAGCGACGACACTCGCGATTGAAATTCTCTTCAGGAAGGACATATGTTGGACCTAATGTATGGAATATTAAATACTAGAAAATATAGTTCGCAAGACATATAGAAAATAATAATTAAAGCAATAAAGAACACAAATAATTGGCAACCCAGTTCGATGCAACCTAGCCTACGTCTGGGGGACTTTCAACCCAAGAAACGAAATCCACTGTTTAGAATTAGAATAATTAGTATAATTAGTCTTATAGGAACAACAACCTCAAGTTACTTAATGTCTCTTCCTAATCCTAGTGACTTTCTATTTAAGAATCCCCCTAAATATGAGAACCCATCTCACTTTCTCTCAATCACTAATCCTAGTGATCAACACAATAAACAGAATATTGAATGTTGAATTACAACTCAACTAACAAACCAAACTATATGCCTTAAGATATGAATGCAAACACTATAGTGGTGCACAAACAATAACACAAACAAAGACTCAAAAGATAAACCCTAACACAAGGAATCTCCAATGCTTGCATACTTGAAATGTTAAGTTTGAATCTCCTTAATAGCAATACAAACTTTGGGCTTTTCCAATGGACATTTGATCACATCCAGGATTATAGGATATTGTTTTAAGATTTTTTTTTCAAACATCCTCCAAAAATATTTGATTTGATATTTAAATCTCCATTTAAATTGATTTGCTCACGTCCAATCTAATCAAACAAATCTACATAACACATTTCTAAAAGATAGCAACAAATCGCGTTGCACATATCAAGAAATTAGGATGAGAATAACAACAATCATGGCCTGCTATCAAAGGTCATATGTTACACACATGATAGAACACCGTGTCCCACATGTTGCCTTTACACAAAATACATCTTGTACTTATGTTATTTTATCGAATGCAAACAATCAAAACAAACAACAATCGCGCACTTTGGAAAATTTTGGCTAAAAATACTTACAAGACATGATCTTCAAGAAGATGCATAAGTAGCACACCATATCAAAATATAACAGAACATAAGCAGAAGTATCACACATATTAGAAATTCATGCAGGGTGGTAGCTACACATCAAGAGATCAAATCAACACACACACAAAATATCATGCTAGAACATCTTGTCCCACATGATCATTACTCCCCATTTTCGCCACATTTTGGCAAAGGTATAAAAAAACCAAAAATAAACCAGCAAGCTTTGGGATACAGGACAATGGCTTGATAGGAACAAAAACCAACCATACCAACACACATCTTCAATCAAAAGACCTCAAAAGAGGAACAAGTACCATAAAACAAGAACACATGACTCATTCAACAAAGGAACACCAAAATAGTAGTAGCAGAAACAACAGGTTGACGTGAAAAATCTCCAATATTTCTTCATCAAAAACTAGATTAGTTTCATCGACAGGTGCACAAATGTTAGACACAATGTCTGAGACATGTTTCCCAATATTTAGTATGTAACTCAAAGTCAAAACACTTGGGAAACACCAATCTCGTGATTGAAGGTGAGAAAAATACATAAGAAGGGGTTGAATTATGTATCTGGCAACTTTTGCTTTTTAGAACAAAAGCTTCTGAATCTGACCAAGTTCAGATTCTAAGCTATAATAAGCAGCAGCGAAATAACTTAAAGTGCAGAAGAAATAAGTAAATCACACATAGAAATTTTCTTGGTTCCTCTATAACGAGAGTAGTTCAGTCCACTTGTACCACAAGAGCTTTTCACTATAATCAAAACCTGATTACAACTTACTTAGACACACCTGTTATAGACTTCCTTGCTCAATCACACCTGAATGAAACTTCCTTGCCTAAACTCATAGTTCAGGACTTCCTTGCTCAATCACACTTAAAAGAGACTTCCTTGCCTAAACTCATAGTTCAGCACTTCCTTGCTCAATCACACCTGAAAGAAACTTCCTTGCCTAAAATCACAACTCCAGAATTCCTTGCTCAATCACACCTGAAAAAGACTTCCTTGCTCAAACACATTATTTGAGACTTTTACAAATTCTAAACAAATTGTTTAGGATTACAACAAGATGTACCTGATATACAATCAGAGGTACAAATAATATATCACAAGAAAAAACTTTTTTACTTGATATTTCTAAGATATACAAGTGTAAGAAAATCTCAAGTATATATGCAATACAATAACAACTATGTACTAAAACTTAGAGCGAAACAGTTCTTGTAATATCCCATTGTCGGTTGTTGTTCTTGTTGTATATTGGTGTATCTTTCTTTGAATCT